TACATAGCCAAACAGAGGTTAATATTTTGTAAATTTCTATCTGTAAAATTGGTTAATCATTTATACCTTCCTTAAACCGCTGTAAATGCTAGAATGGCGGTCTGATATGAAAACCAACTCGGTTGTGTCAGGGACAAATACGTTTAACCGCCTAAAGAACCACTCTCATGCTTCATCATTCTCATTATTATCGACAGCATATGCTAAGGGAAAAACCTAAAAATTCCCGTCTTGGCAACTAGCAGACAGTAAGCATCCTCCAAATCGCCCTTTCATTGATGTCCCGTCGACCACAATGACCTTCCTCATGTATTGATAACCTTTTACGGATGCAGCCAATGCTATGAACTGGTATTTAAAACGTGTAGGACCTTTTGGATCATCAGAATGGGCCGAAAAACAAAGTGATCCAGGGTTAGTTTGCTGAAGCAAAGCGATGTATGCCGGTAACAGAGCATAACTTCCAGCCATAGAACCCATAGACTTTTCCATTGCAATCTCCCTTGCACGCCATGCTTTCCAATATGAAATGTTGATGTGGAAATCATCTAGCAGAAACTTGCGAATGACAGCAGCATTGGGACCTCTTTTAATATTCACAAATCGAGATTACATAATCTCACCTATAACCTGTGTTGTAGCTAACCTGTGGTAGCTACGCCTCTCATCAACCGTGCATGTGTGCGTCAGTTTGGCTTGACGGATTTGGAAGTTCTCAGATGCATCCACTTTTGCTGCATAAACCCGCCATGGGCAGGTTTTTGAAATACACTTCAAGACCATGAACTTAGGAGTTGACCTAGTGGTGCGAAAATGGAACTTCTTGTTGATTGCGTGAATAGCAATCTTCAGCTTGCAATCCGCTTTTGACTTAAACACACGTCCGACAAACAGCTTGTCTCCTTCATAGTTTATATCCGCCAAAGCAGTTTCAACATCTACACAATTAGATAATAATGTTAGGTAGTGAAAACATTGACATTAAAAATGGATGTACTATGTAGACATATATGTATAGTTAAAAAGTTTCTTTTGTACCTGCACCTTTTCCATCATTAAAGACAGGAGGTGCATCGCGACAGAATAAGGCCGGATCATCACTCTTGTCTAGTAGCATCTTGTTCAATGCCTCTTGAACTCGTCCCCACATCACACATGGAACATGTTCTGCTCCATTTCCATCACCGTCAATGCTCCCAGTTGATTCAGAATCTGAAACAAGGCTTCGTACAGCTACCCGTGATGAATTGATAGTGTCATTCACCCTTGCTTGGCTACATTCAACTCTGGAGGGTATATCTGGCTGTGAAAATAGAATAATTTGATTCTCCTGCTCGTCATCACTATCAACTTCTGTAGGATTTGGAACAGGAGTACTCCCTTGCCTTTATCACCAGGTTTACAAGCAGGACCAGCAGGGCGAATTGTAGGTTCTGTTTCTCGGATAGTTATGCCTCCTGCAGTTGTTGGGACAGAGCATAATCTAATTGTCTCACCTTCAACAATAGGTCCTTCTTGTGGTGATGTTGTGTGTTCACTAAGTGCAAAATCATGCCAGTCGGCATCATATTCATCCTCTGAAGAGTCTCCATCACTATCACTGTTTGCTGAAACGTAATGCAGCCAGTGCTTCTCCCTCCTCTTTGGCTTAGCCTCTTGGGATGTTATTTTCTTCACCACAGTGACACACAGGTTAACCTCTTCAATGAAACGCCTCATTCTGATGAAAACTTCAACATCCTTATCTTCACATATGTACTGTGGCGAGGATCTGTTGCCTTCGTCTATTTCCATCCATGACGGGTACTGGTATGACATTTTTATAACGTCGTCATGTGCTCGGAGTCCCAGCTTCTCTTTAACTTTACTTGCAAGCTCTTTGTATGTCATGGAGTCCCGCAGGCGAAGGAACCGGTTCCCCTCCACCGTTGTAGGTTCAAAGTTCCAGATAAATGAATCCACCTTCACCCATTCTCCAATAACGAGTAGAACATGATCCTGAGCCGTCATCTACAAAGACAAAACAGAGTAAATATTTTTTAGGTTATATATTATGTTGTTTGGATTACACATAACTTATAAAATTAGTACAAAGCTTTGCCGCATAAAGAAAATTAGGTTTGGTTAGCAGATCTATAAAAATGGAAACTATATCATTGTTTACTTGTTTGTAAAGGCAGATCTGTGTAAAAGCTAAGTATATATATGAGTTCTTAAATGGTCTGCAGCAATAAATTCCATACTATGTTTAGAACATGAATAAAAGGAATCTAGAATCTATGCTTTTTACCTGAGTATTTCGATGCCTTGAATTTACTGTCCAACTACTTTCCCCATCATCCATTCTTTTTGCAGATGGAGATAGTACTCTGCAAGTAAAAAGAGCCTCACTAGTCTATTTAATAACTGCAGTACAATATCTCAGCCGCACATCTTTCTTGGGGGAATTTAAAATTCAAAAGAAGTAAGTTTTTTCGCATGGTTAAGTTACTGATTGGACAAATTGTGCAACTTGGCAGGTTACTATAAGCCTACTTTTGTAGACCAGACACGTCGACCTTCTTTTTACCAGGGAGATAGCGCGTGTCACGTACGGAGGCTACTCAGGTAATATCCACAGGCCCAATGATTATTCTCTTTGTTTTGGGCTTTAGTGTGCTATATTCTTAATTTTCTGTTTGAAATTGGTCACTCACCTAATTGCCCCAATCTTATATTGAGGGAAGTCACCAATCATTTAGGAAAAAAATGTGGAGAAGAAGATACGTGATTAGAGAAAATAGTCATCTGACTGATTAAATTCAAATATAATTTTATTTGGGTTAACCTAAATAATAAAACAACAGACAACCCGAATCATCCTCACCACCTTCCCCTATTTAAAATTCATATTGCAACTTCTCCCTCCGATCAACTCTTTCGTACAAAACGAAGCAGAAAAGAGTGAAACTGAAAACCATGGGAGATGGAGAAAAACCAACACATTTCTTCTCCGGACATCCCCGTCATTGATCTATGTAGTCCCGATGAAGAGCTTGTGGCAATTGCGGTGGTCAAAGCGAGCCAAGAGTGGGGGATATTTCAGGTGGTTAACCACGGAATCCCGACCGAGCTGATACTGAGGTTGCAACAAGTGGGGAAGGAGTTTTTCGAGCTACCGGAGACAGAGAAGGAAGCCGTAGCGAAGCCAGAGGACTCCTTGGACAGATCTTGAAGGTAGAAACGCATGGGTGGATCATCTCTTTCACCGCATCTGGCCACCGTCTAGAGTCAACCACAAATTCTGGCCTAAGAATCCTCGAGAGTACATGTACGAGAGCAGTCCACTCATTGTCAACTGGTTTAACGAAATTTATGAAACTTACCATTAGTCATCCAAAACTAATTAACTAGAATAATTAATCGTTTTCTATGATGGATTTTGACAGTGAAGTGAATGAGGAGTACGCAAGTCACATAAAGAAGCTATCGGAGAAAATCATGGAATGGTTATCAGAAGGACTAGGTTTAAGGCGTGAGGCATTGAAGGAAGGTCTAGGCGGCGAAACGGTTGAGTATCTAATGAAGATCAATTACTACAAGGACACACACATACACATACTTATACAAGTTTTCTTTCACTAGCTAGTAGCTACTCACTTACCCTTACTCTCTCATCTTACTTCTACAATCTAGATTCACTTACACAAGCAATCCACTCCATCATTAGACTCCAACCACTCTTAACTGTTCAGACTTAACACCCTTTTCTAACTTAGTACTTAGCTCAGACAACAACACACTCTTTCTTTTCATTTGGGCCTTAGTTTATTCGGAGCCCATTACTAAAAACAACCCTAAGCCCATAATCTTTTTGTTGACTTTTCTTCTTCTTCTTTGACTCCCTTCTTCTTCGACGCTTTTCTTCTTCTTCAACCAAGTTTCTTCTTCTTCTTCTCCTCACTGTAATTCTTTTGATTCTTAATCATCTTCTCTTTCTCAATTGCAGGTTCAATCGGAGACTTAACCTTCAACACTCCCTCTTGAGTTTTCGATTGAAACTCTCAATTCCAAGTTAGGATTTTGAATCTTGATATCTTCCCTTCGCCACTACTGGTTCCTTTTCGCTTGATCGGATGCGAGCTTTTCAAGACATCGGCATAAGTCATCGGTGAGCTTGATTTCTCAGTCTCCCTCTTGCTCTCAATCCCAGTGGATTCAACGGCTTTTCCCTTTTCAATTTTTGTTGCTCCCTCTTGAACAATTCTCTTCTCAGTCTTGTTCTCGTTTGCTTCATTCTCAGTTGGACTCACTTTGATCTTCTTTTGCAGATAATCAGGATGGAAATTTATGTCGCCAAACTTGATGGCATAATCTGGATGAAGGCTCATGTCTCCAATCTTGATGACGTTCGTTTTTCCAACCGGAGGTAATCCCTTTGCTTCTTCCTTGTTTTTAATTTCACCCTTGCAAATGATTTCCAAATTTTGAATTCCAAACCCTTTGAACTTTGACGCTTGCTTCTTTTTCTCTGTCTCTGTCTCTTGATCATTCTCTGCCTTCCTTTTGCAGATTTCTTCTCTAGTCCACTTTTTCTCCCTCTTAATCTCAGGTGAGCTTTCAATTTTCTCCACCGTGTCTCTGTTTAACACCATCTTCTTCAGATTTTTTTCTGGACTCACATCCTTGACTTCTCTAACTTTGTTTTCTTCTTTTCCAGTTTCAGAATTTCTCTGGTTCTTAACTTCAATCACTGATTTTCCCTTCACAACTTTATCTCCATGCTTCTTAGCTTGATACATCACAGATTTGTTTTTGTTTTCAACATTCTTCTTAGTACACCAAGGTTGCAACGTTTTTTGATTTGCAATTTTAGTGTCTCCAGCTCCTTGACAACATGATTTCACCTTTTCTTTTGCAGCAACCATTGTTGCTTCTTCATTCTCTGGCATCTTAAGATGATAACTCTTTTTGATCATTGGCACCTCAGCTATCTTCCTTCCAGCGGGATCATGAATGGTACAACCATTTTGATCAAAGTTAACTTCATAATCATTCTCAATCATTTGAGAGACACTCAAGAGATTTTTGGCAATCTTTGGAACTAGTAGAACATCTTTGATCATTCCCTTGCCCTTCTTTGTCATGATTTCAATGTCTCCCTTTCCCTTTGTGGTCAGAACAGCTCCATTACCTACATGGATAGGAACATTGAAGCTTGTGTTGAGGTTAATGAACAGTTTCTCCTGTGAGGTCATGTGATTTGTGCATCCACTATCAATGAGCCAGACATTTTCTTCTAGTGTTTCTTCATCCTCTTGTCTTGCTGTGAACATATGGTAGGTTTCTTCTTCTTCTTCTTCTTTTTCGTTGTCTTCTTGAGTAACTTGAGCTTGTTCTCCATTCTTGAGTTTGCAGTCATTTATTAGATGACCTACCTTGCCACAGCGGAAACAGCTTCTGGTTTCTCTGTTTGTGTTAAAATTCGGTCTGATTTTTCCACTCTTGAGCCAGCAAACATCTTCATTGTGATTATCTCTTTTACAGTAATCACACCACCTCTTTTCTCTGTAACTTGACTGACCTTGGTTTTCCTTATTTTTGCTCTTCACATTCAGATTTCGAAAATGTGCATGGAAGGCTCCTTCTGCTTCTTCTTCATCCTCAGGAAAGAATTTCTTCTCATGTGCCTCAAGAGATCCAACCAGCTCAGCATAGGTAACTGTCATTAGATCCTTTGTTTCTTCCATTAAAGATGACAGACCAGCATAACTCTTTGGCATAGAGGCCAGCATTTTCACTACTAAATCAAAGTTTGATTTTCCTTCACCTAGAGCCCTCATCTGATTTGCTACAGCCTGAATCCTATCAGAGTAAGCTTTAACCTTTTCCCCTTCTTTCATTTTCAGATTCTCAAACTCTCTTCTTAGAGACTGAAGTCTAACAGTTTTAACTTTCTCATTACCTTGATAGGAGTGCTCTAGCAGCTTCCATGCTTGATGTGCTGAGGTTGCTGAGAGAATCTTGTCAAACACCACATCTGCCACTCCATGTTGAAGAATTTGAAGAGCTGCAGTATCCTTAGCTTTGAGTGCCTTCAAGTTTGCAGCTTCTTTGGTCTTGTCTGCTCCTGGAGTCTCTGGTGACTGAGATCCCGGATCTGGAACTCCATCTTTTACTACCTCCCACAGATCTTTGTTCATCAGGGTTGTTTTCATTCTTGCTGCCCAGAACTCATAGTTCTGTCCATCAAAAACAGCAACAAGTTGTGAAGATTGCAAGGTAAGTGTCATTCTTCTCTTCTCTTCTTACGGCTTCTTCTTTGCCTCCTTATTTCTTCTTCTTTGAACAGGCTCCAAGATCAAGTGTGCTCTGATACCATGTTGCAAGTCTCAAATTTTACTCAGGTTTTCTTAAACTCTCTCTTTCTTTTTTAAGATTTTTCATTCATACTTCCATTTATTACAAGGACACACACATACACATACTTATACAAGTTTTCTTTCACTAGCTAGTAGCTACTCACTTACCCTTACTCTCTCATCTTACTTCTACAATCTAGATTCACTTACACAAGCAATCCACTCCATCATTAGACTCCAACCACTCTTAACTGTTCAGACTTGACACCCTTTTCTAACTTAGTACTTAGCTCAGACAACAACACACTCTTTCTTTTCATTTGGGCCTTAGTTTATTCGGAGCCCATTACTAAAAACAACCCTAAGCCCATAATCTTTTTGTTGACTTTTCTTCTTCTTCTTTGACTCCCTTCTTCTTCGACGCTTTTCTTCTTCTTCAACCAAGTTTCTTCTTCTTCTTCTCCTCACTGTAATTCTTTTGATTCTTAATCATCTTCTCTTTCTCAATTGCAGGTTCAATCGGAGACTTAACCTTCAACAAATGGTTATCAGAAGGACTAGGTTTAAGGCGTGAGGCATTGAAGGAAGGTCTAGGCGGCGAAACGGTTGAGTATCTAATGAAGATCAATTACTATCCGCCGTGTCCAGATCCGGAGTTGGTCGTGGGAGCTCCCGATCACACTGATGTCAATGGAATCACACTCCTAGTCGCTAATGAGGCTTTAGGACTTCAGGCATTCAAAGATAACCAATGGATCGACGCCAAGTATACCACTTCCGGGATCATTGTCATCATCGGCGATCAATTCTTGGTAAGAAATTTATGAACTTAGGAGACCCTGGCCCGTGGCTATGTGCATAATAAAGAAACATTCGCTTCCGGCCATTATTTTGGAAAAAAATTTTAAGGCCTTCATTTTCATATGTTTATTAATTATATTAGGTCCAATAGAAAACATTGTTGTGTTGTACTTGTATAAGAAAGAAGAAAGTCACGATGGCTTATCAAAATAACAGATTTAAACATCACGTCTTTTACTCTTTTCCCTGCCACTTTTCAAGAGTCACATCTTAAGCTTTTTTTCTTCTTTATTGATTGATCACAATTCACAAGTATGTTTATTTAGTAATTAGTATTACAGTTTTCTTTTTTAATAAATTTTAGAGTTGAATTTTTTCATATATTGAAAAAAGTTTTTCAAAGTTGAAGTTAATAAAGTTTTATCTTCGGTCGAGTATGTCACAAAAAAGATTGAACGATTTGGCTTTTTTTTTGTCTATCGAAAGGAAATTGGTTAAAAGCGTTGATTTTAAAAGTTTGGTTAATGATTTTATAGCACAAAAGGGAAAAAAGTTGCGTTTTAGAATCAATATTCTAGCTTTTACTCTTGTTTTGTTTATTTGGACTATGTTGGTTCCTACTTTACAGTATTTTTTTTTGTATTTGAATTAAGGTCTTTTTTTTAATACCGCTTCTGCTCTATACAATGCTAGGCACGGCTCTGAGGAGACCATGCATGTTAGAATCTTTTAATGTTTCAATCATGGTAGGTTATTGACTTATTGTGTATACTTTGAATTTAAATGAAAATAATAATCAGCTCTTTCATAGGTCTTATAAATTAGTCTGAACTAAAGCACGGATCCTCAAGTTCCATATAAAGTTTGGGTTAAATTATTTTGGAATTGTGAATTTGGCAGAGAATGAGCAATGGGAAGTATAAGAGTGTGGAGCATAGGGCGAAGATGGATAAGGAGAAGACGAGAATCTCGTGGCCGGTTTTTGTGGAATCTAGCCTTGATCACGTCTTCGGACCTTTGCCAGAGCTAATTACCGGTGATGAGAACATTCCCAATTTTAAGCCTTACGTCTACAAAGATTACAAATTTCGTAAGCTTAAGAAGCTTCTTCTCGAATGAGAAAGTCTCATAATACCATCAACGGATGAGAGATCATGAATAAATTTTTTCTTTATTGGGTTATTTCGTCTGCCTTAATAAGTTTTATCTATTTATCAAATTACAGCATTGTGTGTGTGTGGCGTGTTTACGTATTTGAATATTAATCAATTTGGAATGTAACGTTGAAACTGCATTTATTATTTATTGTTAAGATATTCATGGGGTGTATCTTTATCAGGTGATGCTCTTTAGTCTTTACTTTCATATTTTAAATCAAAACTTAATTATTTATTTAAATTATATTAAAATAATAATATATATTGTTAAGAAATCCTTGTAACTGATGGATATGCTCTTAAGTTATAGGGCAAAAATAAACAAGAAAGCAACGTATTTGGTTAATTAATGTGGTTGGGTCCGTAAAAATGTAAAAAAATTCATATAAATAAAAAACGTTTAAACAGCAATACTTCATGGATTTTCAATAGTTTTGCTAATCAGTTATTCTTTCCATCAGACTATTCATGCAACTTAAGCTAGTTTTTTTAAGTTTTCCCAAACCAAATTATGTCCGTCTCAAACAGGATCCTCTTACAAAAATGATGATAATCCGCAAAATACTGGACTACGTACTGTCGAAACGAAACGATGGAACATCATGGCGAATCTCATTTTGCATAAAATTAAAAAAAAAAATTTGTTGTGGTTGAAGATTTGAAGTACAAAAAACAGATTTTTCTTTTCTTCGCGGAATATCGTTTTTATTGCAAAATTTAGTTCCACAACATTTTTACATCAATTGGTACGTAATTCATTTCCTGCAAGACAAGTAGTAATTAATATCACATGAGTTTCTAATAAAGATTTGGTTGACAAAAAAAAAAAAAAAGAATTCAATTGCGCGAGATACACGATAACCTTTATACAAAATATTCACGACGACACCTATGAAGTTATGCGCTTATTACAATTATTGTACTGACAACTTTTGTTGGACCATCGTCACATAAATCAAATTTAGTGGATGGTGCTTACGTTTTTTTAATATCTTCTAGCGTTCCAGAACTTCCAATCATATTCATATCACCACTTACGCACTAATGCAAAACCTTACAATGTTTTTGTCATCTTATTAAGCGGACTTAGGCCTGGGCAAAAAAACCGTACCCAAGTATCTGAACCGAAACCGACCCGAAAAAACCGGTTCGGGGTGAGTACGGATATTAGCTATTTACCCTATTGGGTCTTGTATTGTCGTACCCGTGGGTATAGGGTAAAACCCGATCCGAACCCGATACCCGAACGGGTACCCGATTACCCAAAATTACTTATACTTATACATATAAAAACTTTATATATATGTAATATTTGAGCTAAATACATTTATATCCAAATATCCGAGAGTAATTACCAAAAATTAAATGCACTTATATTTATATATTTAAGACTAAATATATTTATACGCGAGATGCTTGTAAATTTTTTAAATATTTGGACAAAATTCCGGTTATTCGGATAAATTTTTGGGTGAAACTCGGATATTTGAGTAAAATTGCGGATAAAATTTGGATATTAGAGTAAAATTTCGGGTAAAATTCGGGTATTTGGTAAAATTTTGGGTATTTAGGTATAAAATACCCGAACCCGATGGGTGCCCGATTTTTTCGGGTATTTAGCGGTTCTAAAAATCTAAACCCGAACCGACCCGAACCCGATTAGACCCGAACCGAAACCGAACCGATATTTTAGATTTACCCTATTGGGTCCTAAACTCCTCTACCCGAAAGACCCGTATCCGATCGGGTTTTACCCGAACCCGACCCGCATACCCGAATGTCCACCCCTAAGCGGACCTATTCGAGAACACAGCATCACCAAATAAAGTAAAAATTAGAGAATCCACTTTTTTATTTTCCTTTTAAACGGAAATTAATCGTCATTCTCGTCATTGTTTTTTTCTACTAATAGTGACAATACATATTAATTTTCTAGATTCAATGATAATATATATACATTTATTAGCTATCAAATCAACGTTTCATCTCTCGTTCCACTCTTAAATAAGTTTTTAAAATATATTTTTCAGCTAAATTATTCGCTTACATCATTAAAATATTTATTTCTTTTCCTACCAAAAAAAAAAATATTTATTTCTTTTACTATTTTATGAAATTTGAATACAAAATATAAATATATCAATTCTTTTACACACTCTTTATTTAACATTTAACAATATGTAGTAAACACACAAGACTCAATATATTTGAGTTCACTCGATAGGAAGTTTGAGGAGCCTACGGTACTTAAAGTCCTTGCAAGTAATAGGCTTGAACTTTGAGGGATTACTGCAGGTAATGAGCTCCGGCAATGGTCCGATGACCACATCAGGATTAGCATCCACAAAAACCGGCCATGACATCCTTTGCTTTTCCCTATCCACTATGGCTCTATGCAACACATTCTTATACTTGCCATTGCTCAGCCTCTACAAATTCCAAAAGAAAAAAACTTCAAAAACCAAATGATTCATTAATTAAATCATACAACTTCGACTAACCAACCATTATCTGATCGCCAATGTTGACGGTTATGGCTGAGGGAATGTAGTGGACATCGAACCAACGATCATCCTTGAAAATCTGAAGCCCTGGAACTTCATTGGTTATAATGATTGTGATTCCGATGATGTCAGTGTGCTCCGGCACTCCTAGAGTCAAATCTGGTTTCGGGTCAGGAGGATAATTGTTCATCCTCATTACATACTCTGTTGATTCGCCGCCGAGACCTTGTATCAAGGCCTCACGTGGTAACCCTAATCCCTCTGATAGATACCCTAAAATCCTCTCTGATAACTTCTTAGTCTCCTCTGTGTACTCCTCAATCACTTCCCTATAGTTGCCATGTCCCAACAATCAAAATTTGCTTGTTTTCAGTGTTTATTCCTTTCATATTCAACGTAAATAGTTAGATTTAAAATGCTTCATTCTTTGTTATTTTTTTTCCTAACTAGACAGTAGACAACAAATAAGATTAGTAGTACCTGTATCGAGGAGGATTTTTGGGCCAGTAATTAAAATTGATACACGAAGGTGGCCAGATTCTGTGAAAAAGATTCTCGGTCCAAACCTCTCCTTCTACATACTTGAGATTCGTTGTGTAACCTTCAAAGTCTTTGGAGCCATCTTGTTTCGCTACGGCTTTCTTCTCCGTCTCCGGGAGCTCAAAGAACTGTGTACCAACCTCCTTCAACCGCCGTATCAGATCCAACGGAATTCCATGATTAACCACGTGAAAAATCCCCCACTCTTCACTCGCTTGCACCACCGCACGCGCCACTAGCTCTTCATCAAGATTGCTTAGATCGATAATAGGGATCGTCTCGGCGAGAAGAGATGGTGAAGAAATGTGTTGGTCTCTCTCGATTTCCATAATGGTCGCTCGCTGGAAATATGTGGTGGACGCAGACCAAACTGCTATTTGTCACGTCTTGTTTGACTAAGATAAACTGTATGTGTTGTTTATTTTCTTACATATAAATAATATTCACTAAATTACCTAACCACCTACTCCCTTATGCAAATGTTTTATATACAACTCGAAATCTCACGACACCACCTAAGTAATCACCTACTACCTTATTCATATCCCTTTATCAAAAAAATAAATAAATTAAAGTTTGTGTCATTGTGCTAATGATATCCTTTGAATCTACTTGATAAGATGAGATAATTGAGGTTTCTTGTCAAAGGTTACCTCAATCACAGACTGCCAACAAGAAAAGGTTACATCAATCACATATTGAAATATCATGTTTAAATCATTCATAAGAACACATATTTCTACAAAACTGTACTTATAGCACAATTGTTTGCATAAATTAGGTATATAGCATGACTACTTTTTTTTCCAACATATAGCTTGACTACTTGAAATGTACAAAACTAACAAAAATGGAAGATTAGATTACAATTGTACTCCTCAATTTTTAAAACCCAATCCCTCACCATCCTCTTCTTCTTCCTTGGTTCTCTAAGGAAATTGTTTGGTTTCGTCACAGAGATTTAAATTTGGGTCCAATCCATATCCTGCAATAGCTACACCACCTTGACGCTCTCAAATTTCTCATGAACCTTATTCAGTTTTAGATCAACAAGCTAAAGACATCCCAAAGTCATTCCAAAACATTGACTCGACATGTCGGTTTGAGCAATGCGAAAATCGACCTATGCAGTGCTGAATGAAAATAATTTCAAGCTAAATTCTTCATTAGTATTCGAGATAATCGAAAAGCAATATTTCTCTAGCAGATAACATAAAACCATTACATTAATAGAACAGATGATCTGACAATACAAAAACCTCAACCTCTATCGACGAAACAAAAGAAAACAAAATTCAACTCACTACACAAGAATTATTCCATCCGTTCATCAAAAGCATAAGATTGTGAAACTAGACTCAGGGTTGGGTTATAGTCTTATAGAACATTCTAGATCCTACTGAGTACCCTCTCAGCCGCAGCAATCGTGAACTGTACATCCTCGGGAGTATGAGCCAAGCTCGTAAACCCGGCCTCAAACTGAGACGGTGCAAAGTAAACACCTTCTTCCAACATTCCCCTGAAAAACCTACCAAACTTCTCCGTGTCGCTCTTCTTTGCGTCTGCAAAGTTGTAGACCGGTCCTTCTGCGAAAAAGAAACCAAACATACCGCTTATATAACCGCCGCACATTGGATGCCCGGTTTTCTTTCCAGCTTCTAAGATTCCGTTGGTTAGTTCCTTTGTGATCTTGTCTAAATACTCATATGTTCCTGCCTGCTTTAGCCGCTTCAGCGTGTGAATCCCTGCAGTCATTGCCAGCGGATTACCACTTAGAGTCCCTGCTTGGTACATTGGTCCTGCGGGCGCAACCTACAAGAAAAGAACAGAAACATTATTGATGCATTTTTCAAAACCGGAAAAAAACAAACCGAAAAACAGAATGGCCACCCCTACTTTTGAAATTTGTTAAAAGTCTCGAGCCAGATCTTACCATCTCCATAATATCGCGTCTCCCACCATATGCTCCCACGGGAAGACCCCCACCAATAATTTTACCAAGAGTTGTTAGATCAGGCGTGATTCCGAAGTATTCTTGGGCTCCACCATAGGCTAGACGAAAGCCGGTCATGACTTCATCGAAGATGAGAAGAACACCATTGTCTTTAGTAAGCTGGCGTAAACCGTTGATGAATTC